TTTTTTTGAAATTTTCAAATTTTGACCCGGCCGGGTTATGAAAACCATTTAATTAATTTTGCATGGCCTTATATAATAAATTATTTATTTTCTAGAAATTATACAAATTTTTGTATTAACTTCAAAAAATAGTAGCAAATTTTATAAACCACTTTCAAAAGACAAACAATAGCTTTAGAATACTCTTGATTTAGAGCTTGTTAGATTATTTTAAATTTAATAATACTATAAATAATTTTTTTTTAAAATTAGACTTAATTGTCTTTAAATATTTAATATAAGACTATTTACTTATTGATTTTTTATAAAGAATTATTTTATAGCTTTTATTATTTTTATAGTTTAAGCTATTAATTGGTACCACTATTTTTAACTATAGTATATTAATTTATACTAATCAAAAATTCTAATTCTATATAAAAATTCTAAATTTACTTAATATATTAACTAAAGTTTAAACTTTTATATCTTGTATAAAATTAAATACTATTAGTGGTTTAATATTATTTTTAATAAGTTTACTAAAATATACTACTGGTATTTAATAATATAATGATTTTTACTGATAAAATTTTTTAATACAGTATAATATAAAGATTAAATATAATATAAAATTTTTATTTGTTTTATTATTTTTTTATAAAAGTATCTTTAATTTAAAATTTTGCCTATAAAACTATTTTTTAAAAAAAGAATTCTTTGCAAAATTTTATTATATACTATACTTTATTTTAACTTTTAGCTATTAGCTTTAACTTAATATTTATTAAATTTAGTTATTTATTTATTTTTTTGTTTGTTTTGAGAATATTTTTATATTATACTGCATACTGTTGTTAAACACTAGTAGTACATTTTAGTAAACTTGATTTTTAAAGTTTAATAGTATTAACTAATATATATATACCATTATTAATTATAATTAACATATATAAAGTTAATTAATTATAATTAATTAATTTAATTACTTTTAATTAATTTTATATAATTAATTATAATCAATTTTAATTTAAATCAATAATCATTACCCATAACAATAATAATCACTTAAAACAATCAATCATAATTAATTAAATACTTGTAACAAATTAAGGATCTTATTTAGTATAAATAGGAATATATAAATATTTTAAGAATATTTAATATAAAAAAACTCTAACTCTAACCCAAAGCTAACTATAAACTATACTATAACTCTCACCCTAACCCTAACTATTCTCAAATCTGTTTAGATTAGTTTAAATAATTATTTTTATATTAAATAATTTTATAATTTTATATATTTCCATCTATACTTAATATTAACCTAAATGATAATCAGATTTTAAATTTTGTTAAGAATATTAACAAAAGGTATTAAGTTACTGATTTTAAATTCAGGGTAATTATTTAAAATAGTAACTTGTACTAATAATCATTCAAATTAAATATTTTACTACTTTTTGTTTTCTATACTACATTAATAATAAAAAAAAAGCTGTAGCCAAATTTTGGTTTAAATTTTAACGAATATTTCTTAACACCTACCTATTTAAATTTAATAAAAAATTTTTCATTTTATTTCAGTAGTTTCACAGAATTAAAATAAAAAAATTTCATCATATTTTTAAAGGTGGCTATTAAGAAATATTCATATAAAGTCTTAAAAATAAAAAATTTTGTTACAATTTGTTTTTTTCTAAGATATTTAAATTTTTTTTAAAATTTTTTACCTAAAATTTTTTAATGACTGCTAAGCAAAATTTAATAAATCTTTTTTATTTTGATTTTACAAGAAAATCAAATTAAGATAAAAATTTTTTACTAAATCAAGCGGATATTGAGAAACCTTTGCTAGAAGTTCAAAAAAAATTAAAATTTATTAGTGAGTAAATTGATCATTGCTTATCTGATATCACGTGACTATGCAGAAAAATTGGAGGTGTTGTTGGGGGTAGTTATGCTCTAGACTACATTATGGATCTCTTAATACTGATCATGGAATCTCACTTTATTGAAGATTCAAAAGACATCGTATTTATAATATCTATACTTATTATGAATAAGTTTACTAAGTCAATAGGTAGATAAATGCTATAAGTGTCATAGATTCGATAAGTTGTACTTAACTCACTATACTAACTAATTAGGGTAGCTGCGTGATGTAATCACGCTAGAACCAGGAATATTAAACATATATTTGTATTTCGTATATATATATGATAATATCATTTTCTGTTATTAATAAAGTTTTCTTTCTAGAATTTAATTCTGTAAAAAATTTTTTTTATAAAATCATCATCTGTCATAAGCATCCTGTATATTTTTACCAATTATTTTATTTATATGAGAATGAGGTATGCATTCTTAAATAATGTTGAATAAAAAAAATTGCACACATGTTTCTCATATTAAAATGATCTGATCTGATATACTGGGGTTTAATTTTATTTGATGAATACAGATTATTTAGTTGCGAATATGCATTATTGAAATAGAAACAAGATATGCTTGAGAAATAATATTGTGCTGGGAAATCACCATAAACAGCTGAGTTTGTGTGGCTTAATGCTGGCTGGTGGTTTCCCACCTATGTAATGCAGGCAGGCTGTTAATATGAACATGCGATATTAATATTCAGTAGTTGTAATTATGAAAATGGCAGGTTCAATTAGTTGTGATTTGTGTGCTATTTAAACTGAAATGGAATATGCTCTAGGAAATAGCAATAATATTGCACCAGGAGATAACTATAAGCAGTTGTTTGTGCAGTTTAGTGCTGGCTGGTGGTTTCTTACCTTCATAACATAGGCTAGCTGTCAAATAAACATGTGATAGTAATGTCAGTAGTTATGTTTGTGAAAATGATAAGATTCCTTGATCTGTCGTATAATGATAAGGCCAATTGCATTTCATATTGTATTCTCATTGCTGCCTTTATTAAATTAGTGATTACCGTTTGTGGAAAGTCATTCAAATCATATTTACCTCCAATGATAATGATAATCCAGAATTTGACCTATTTCGGTTGATGGTTTTACAAGGCACATCAATAGTGTGTCAGCGCTAGCTAGTGGTTCTCGTGCATAATGTAAGCCGGCCGTCAGCATGAACATGTAATAATGATACTCAGCAGTTATAAATATGAAGATGATAGATTTTTGGGAGGGAATGTTTGGGCCTGTTAATAGTTAAGTTACGATTGTTGGTGTAGGATCCTAATTGTGTTCTCATTATTAACCATAGCTGCCGCAACAAATTTGGACTGGCAGATTCTCAATTTTGATTGGCTAATGGCCAAGGATCTTTGAAATTTTGGCCCACATTACAAAATTGGTTACTAATTTCCGGCCGGAATTAACTTTTTAATTTTTTTATTACAAAAATAGAAATTCTTAAAAAATAAGCTCGCAATATAATAAAATTGGCCCAGAAACAATTTTCATTTAATGGGCAACTATGCTTTCATTAGTAAAATTATGAGTAATTCTGGCCTAATCTTTTTTTCGTCGCTCTTAACCAATCAAAATCGAGGATCTGCCAGTCCAAATTTGTTGTAGTAGCTATGGTTAATGTTCTCATTTCTTATCTTTTTCACATTGCCACATATAGAACAATACCCATTGATTGTATGTACGAAATTGGTTCTGTTCCTGTTAATGACTCTGCTTAGCAATAATATATTACACCAACATGAAACAGTAATATGTGAAATCTTAGATTTTTAATGCTCAATCAAATGCAAGATTTTGTATACATGGTAGTTAACCGGGTATCCTTATATTAAGCAAATTTGGGCTAAAGATTAATTCTGGCCTAAAAATTTTGAGTTGTAGTATATCAAAAATTTTCCATATATTTAGTATATAAATATGCTTTCTATGACTAAAATTTCGTACCAGAAACTTTTTTTTAAAGTCAGGAGTTAGTTGGCATAGTAAAATTTCGCATTATTTACAATTTCTTGCATTTTCTTACATTTTTTGCATTTGTTTTTTTTATACAATATTCTATAATTTTATTGGATCCGATCTATGAAATTTATAATCAGAAGTGATCTTCAGCCCAGAATTTGCTTATATAAGGGTACCCCAGTTAGCATGTCTGAAATGTGTGACAGGTTATGCCGAATATATTGATTTGAATAGTCAATCAACCTGATGCACCTCTGATTGGCTGGTGCTTTTTATTAAATACTATTAGAAATAAGTATGTACGTATGTACGTATGAATAAAATAATGCTCTAATAGTTGTAAACTGTAAATTTGCATATTTAAGTTTGTGCATTATTTTTTTTTAATGGAGAGCCGGGTATTATGGTGCAATTAAGAGAGAAAAGACATATTTACTTACAAAATTGCGAAATAAATTAACATTTGATTTACTATCAAAAGATAAAAAAAATTCGAATAAAAAAGAAAACTTCAAAAATTTAAACTTTTGAAATCTAGAGGTTGGGTATTATGGCACACTATGAATTATTATAAGTACATAGCGATAGTATATTAATGAAAATTAAACACGTGAATAGTACGTGTTTAAAAAAAAACCAAGTGCGCCATATTATCCAAATCTCCTTTATATTCAGTATTTAAAGGAAATGTAGGAATAAATGCAACATGTATAATGAATAAAAATAAAAATATAACATAATTCATAATTATCATAACAATTTATAATGCAGCAATTTTGTTAAAATTTAATATTCAATCATATACATATCACTCTACAGTTAATACATGCATAATGAATAAAGCTAACTTTCAATTTGGTTGATTTATCATTATTTGCTTGCTTAAATTATGATCCTTTTTGACTATTTTTTTTTCTTTCGGGAAGGAATAGAATAAGGATCAGAATTTTCTTTTTCTTTACTAGCATTAGATAATTTTCGCTTTCCATCACTAGGTCTTTCCAACTTTCTCCTTTTAATAGATTCCACTTGGATACGAATCATAGAACCACTTTTAACATGGGTTGCCTGATCTGAATTGCGATTAAAGTCATAAAAAAATGAAACAAGTTGAGAAATATATTTCGATTTTGCTTGACGATATTGTTCTGCAAATTTGTTGAGCGCAATACGTAAGTGAGAGCCAGAATTTTTATAATCTGCTTTAATTTCATCTAAAAATGCAAAAAAGATATTATCATTGATATCATTTTCTTTATTAGATTCTCTAAAAAAAATAACAATATTTAACTTAGTGCGCCAGTAAATTATTATAAATCATTCAAGTAATGAGAATTCTAGAATAAGACCTCTGTTCAGTAGCTTCATCGAAATCATTATTAGAAGCATCGCTTGCTGTTATGAATTTTTGATCTTGCAAGAAGAGCCCAGATTGTAATGAAGCATAAAATGAAAAATCCTCAGAAAAATAGGCTAAAAAAAAAAGGTATAATATGTAAAATTTGCCCCAATAATTGTTTGCAAAATACAAGAAAATTCGCTGTACTATGTATTATATAATCAGCAAACTACTTCATAATTAGAATTATCTCTAACGCTAAATAAATTACTTAAAGTGACAGATTTTTGATATCAAACATAATCTAGAATTATACAAGTTACAAATTTATAGTTACATTATATCACTTACCAAGTGCGATATATGAGTATATTATACGATCCTTGGGTGTCAATGAAGGTATAAAATTAAACATAGCAATATGATATTTAATCGCGATGGCACCCTGATGTTTGCATGGTGCACCAGAAGTTCTAGTTGGGCAAGTGCATACTCCAATACAACTGTTTACGACATAATAAAGATTATTCTGTTTTGTGCTTTTTACCAAGAATTCATTTTCTACATTTGTTCTTTTAATAAAATTCAAATCCACCATTTCCTAACCGGGACATAGAAAACGTTTTGCAATGCGATAGTGACCAGGATGTTTATAAGCAACTCCAAGAAGCCATCACTCATAAAACCTTTCCATACTTGATGTTATAAACTGAAACACCTGTATAATATTATATGCTTGCGTTCTTGCAAAAATGATATTTTTTAAAATACCAAAACTTCGTTCAATATAATTATTTGTATTGTTTCCACATATAGGTAAATTAATATTAAATAATAGAGCCCAAAAATGACGTCACTCCCACAAATGTTCAAAGTGCTTTTGTAAAGGTAAATAATTATAAAAATCTTGTTTAAATTCCTCATAATGCTTATTCATTTCAGAGCCAGATAATGTATAAAGGATTTTTTTCATCTTATTCATTACGAGTGCTCAGTCTTCCTTTTTGATTTGGTGCTTTGAATCGTGCAATCACCTTCAGAACACTTGTAGAACGTGAAATGTGCACAAAAGACGGATACCTGTAGTGAGTTCCCTATTAATTTAAATTATAAGAAGCATACCTAATATAATGCGATAAAAATGAAATAAATGTATTTAAGCATATACAATTTCAAAAATCAATTAAATTTATTAATTAAAGTAAAATCCGAAAATAACAGATTTGAAAATAAATAGGCGTTTGACAAAGTAAACTTTTTCTTATCAATAAATTAGTAAATTACAAATAGTTTAGTATAATAATAAAAACATCTATTTAATAAAAGTAATACTCTTGCAAAACAAAAAAAATTAGTCAATTAAAAGACAAAAGGCAAAATACCTTGTGGCTAACAAAGTTCCAAAGCGTTACATTCCACGCTTGAATCGTCGGTGAGAAAAACAATTGGCCCTACTTCTGGCCCATGCCCGAAAAAAGCATATGGCGGAAGTATTGTTTTTAATAAGTCTATTGCCTTTTCAACATACTCTCTGATTCATCAGAGGTAATAAATAAACCCAGAGGGAGGGCCCCAACCGCACAACTAGTATAGAAAATAGTGATTGAAGTGTTTAGAGAATTGAATAATGCTGACGCATCCATGTAACAAATTTCGCCAGCCTGAATAACCTTTTTGTGCACACGTGCCATCAAATTTGTTACTATATATAAAATAAATGCATTTCCAGAACTTGCATTATATTTTTGTAAAGCAGCTTTACCCCGCCCTAATAATATAATTAATTTACAAAACATATATTTAAAGAATGCAACATATTAATTATTTAAAAAATAAAAATAAAAAATAAAAATAAATAAAAAATAAATAAAATAAAATAAAAATTATAACCTGATCTATTATAATTTTCCACCATTAACTCTAATCGCTCAAACATTGATTTTCCATTACGGCCACCAAGCATAGCATTGCGATATTGTCGAAAAATATGATAAACAGAATCATAATTTGGATTAGTTGCTCGGTCTGCAAGTAATTCCACCAATTCTTGTTCATCTTCAGCACCAAGGTAGAGATCATCTTCAAGTACATATAACACTGAGGAGGTTGAGTGATCATCTTTGAAAAGATCTAACAATTTGTTACGAACTTCTTCCTTGATTGGTCGAAAACTCAGGGATTCGGCTGTGTTGATGACATAATTGTGTGTGAACTTAATATTTACTTCCAATAGGTGGCTCAATATAAGGTGCCGGCGCTCCAACCGCAAGTGAATAGTTGCAGGGCAAAAGATGTTTCGAGCCCGAGATGACTGCAAACACTTCATTTCACAATTTCCTTGCTTTTTTTTTACTTCATTGCTATGGATGAAATATCTTTGTTCACGAAAAATAACTTGGTTTCCTTTAACTTCAAAACCCCTTGTTTGAGGCATAGTTGTCTTGTACCAGGACTGATACTCCATAAACCACTAACATGCACCTTCCTCACTATCAATATTCACAAATGTGTCTAGTTCAAAATTTGCAACTTCAAAATCTTCCAGTGTTCGATGCAGTGGTAAATCAGTTAAATTTTGTATTTGATAAGTGTAATGTTGGGGAAGAACAGATTTTAAAATCCCTGGTAAGTCATCCCACAAAAATATCTAAAATAATAAAAAAGAAAATGACTTAGCTAATTAGTAATCATGAAATCGATTGATAATTAAAAAAAAAAAACGATAGTTTAGAAATTCTTATAACGTCATAAAAGTTTATTTATTAAATAGACTTTTATGACGTTATAAGAATTCCCAAGCTATCATTTTTCTAGACCAGTCTTAATTAATGCTATAAGTATGAAGTCATTGATAAACCGATAAATTGATTATTGCTATAAATTAATTATTCAAAATTACTACTAAGAAAATGGGACACAAATAAAATAAATTGCCGTTCTTTTTTATTGAGGTCCAAAATTTAAATTAATAATTTTTGCACAAGCTATTTTACATGAAAAAAGTCCTCAAAAAGCTTTATTTAAAGGAATTTTAATAAATTTAAATTCAATAATTTTACATAAGCTAATAATCACTAATTTACGTGAAAAAAAGGCGAGACTTTGCTTCTAATAAAGTTTACTGCGGTTGTAAATTAAGGTTCTTCTTAATAATTAATTTATTAAAAAACCAGGTTTTTACCTTCGGGTTATTTTCCGCGCTTTCCATAACCGTACGTACGTGTAACTTTTAAAAACTTTATTGTAAACTTCTTTTATATATTATCACAGTATATTTTATAATAGACTTAATAGACTTATACTTATATGAAATAGTTAAGACAAACAAAAATATTCAAGAATGAACAAAAAGTATTCAAGAGAGAACAAAAATATTCAAGAGTACGCAAATAAAAAAAATCGATTGATATGAAGTAAGTGCATATTAGTGCGATACACTATCCTCATTATGAGATCATAGTCAATTTACCGGCTTACACATCGATCTTCATGTCCGAATTAAACATTGCCGGTAATTTCCTTATGAGGCAATTTTTATCATAAATCCGTAACGTTGGTCATACTAATGGTATGTTTGGATGTTCAGTAAATATTTGGTCGATTGTTTCAAACAATTCGGTCTTTTCGTCGTATTGTATTTTGTTTTTAATTTGTCAGATCTTTAATAAGTATTGTTCCTTTTTTGCTTTTGGTTTCAAAAGTGAATAAACAAAGTCTTGATCCTTTAATAATTTTATTAATCCGGAATCCGATATTTTCTTGAGTGTCGGATTTTCTTTTAGTATTCTGGATGCATGCATTCTGTCTTTAGGTCGGAATGCTGCTAAATATTTGTAATTATAATGGTCATTTAGGAGTCTATTAACTCTATTGATTTTATTTTGTATTTGGCCCTTTTCATATTCAAGTTGTTTTTTGTATTTTTCTATTTGTAGAATCTCAGTTCATGATGTGGATTCTACTTGTTTATGGTGAATAGCAAATTTATAGTCTGTCAGTATTGGTAATTTCTCCTGAATTTCATCTTCATCCGCTAAGCTTTCTATTTCTTCATAAGAGTACTTAGCTTCATAGTTTAAGTAGTTGTCAGCAAGTTGTTCTTCGTGTTGTACTTCTTGCATTCTAATAAAATATTGGTGTATCCCATCGAATATTAATTCTAATGGTTGTCTGATCATTGGTATAAGGGTTAAATCTTGTAATTCATTATAAGTATATCATTCCTATGATGTTGCTTCTTTTGGTTCACATTGCTTTAATTTTTGGAATAAGTTACAAAGATAAATAAACACAGTTCTTCGTATTCTGTATTTTGCTTCTGTTGGTGAGCAGTATTTTTCAGCTACCCACTCTTGTGAACTTGGTTTGAATTCGGTCCATACTTTAATGAGTAATTCTTTTTCCATTAAAATATTAGCTTCTTCTAATCCTTCTCTTATTGCGGTGCATTCATCACTTTCGCTCGGGTTTCCATTTTTATCTAATTTTTCTTTTCCTCCGTATCCTTGGTAATGATTCCAAAATACTTTCTTTGAGTTAATTCTTTTAGATAGTCCTATTTAGTACCCTTTTTCTGGGTGGTATCTAAATGGTGCGGTTTGTATAATTCTTCGTTCTGGTAATTCTAAATGTGTTATTAAAGAGTGTGCTATAAATTCCAATTTTCTACACATATTGCAATTATCATAATAAATTTCTTGATTATTTTCAATTTCTTTATAATGTTCCATTTCTTGAAATTCATTACAACTAACACATTTCCATATTATTCCGTATTGTGGATCGTTATATAGTGGTAGCTTCTCCATTTTCTTCGTTTAACTGTTGTATTGTAAATTTTAAAAATTATAAATTATAAATTTCTTCTTTCAACAAGTCCTTTTCTTTTATTAGTTTTTGTTGTTTCTGCTACTGATGTTTTTCTTCAGTTTGCCATTGTACGTATAAGGCTTCCTTGCGACTGCAATTCTTGCAACATCGTAATTCTATATTCTTATCTTGTTTCTTTAAATACTTTGAGTATTCTTCTATTTTTTTATCCCTTAAGTTGTAGAGTTCGTGTAACAATTTTAGCTTAAAAATAGCATAAATTTAGTTATAATCTATTTTTTTT